CCAGAAAACTTTCTGGAGTGTGTTTAAGTGTTAAACACCACAGCAACAAAAAGCTCTAATTTAATCAGTGGTACCTCAGCAATTGCATTTTGCTTTCCCAGGGCTGAGTGCCTGGGTCTCTTGTGCCCCAGGAACAGGGTGGCCTTGGCTGGTGGCAGCCCTGTCCCTGTCCCCATCCCTGGGGCTGGAGTCAGCCGGGAAGTGGCTGCTGTAATTATTGAGAGGAACAACGTAACATCTCCCGAAGCCAAATTTTTAATCAAAGTGATGGGCGAGAACAGGATCCGCGTGGCTTATGTCAAAACAATAGCGGCACGCATCAGCTGCTAATTAACGTGAACGCATGACTCTGGAAAAGTAATTTGCAATTGGGGTGGAATCTGTGTATTTATTTTTATTTTGATTAATGTTGGGTCTTTTCTTTTTTGAAGATGCTAGCTGAATGCGTTTCATACGCAAGTCCGTATAAACAGGAGATTAATCACTAGAAATTAACAATAACCAAAATCAGACAGAGGCATTGTTCTGGTAAAATAGGCTGAATACTTGTTAGAGTAACCTCTGTATCACTTTTATCTACTAAACTGAAACTTGTTGGGTTAAAAACGTGTAATATTTCCTCAGTCTTGGAGGTGGAATTGGGGGTGGGGGAGATAGGCATTGTGAAGAAACTTGTACCAGTTTTGGCCACAGCAAGGTCTTTTCATATAACATATCCTGTATTAGAAATGCTGAGATCTGTGTGGATTTTTTTTTTCCTGAAGATTGTATGGAGAGGCTAATTGATGAATGATCCTATAGTCATTTGATACCATCTTATTGCTGCAATTCGTTCTCAAGTGAGAACTAGAGGAAAATAAAGCTTTATTTAGATATCAACCTTTAGATGAGAAATGGAAGCAACCTGTGTTATCAATTCCAGAAGATTCTTGGCCAAATCCCTATAGTTTGTCATTAAAACTTAACAGTATTTTCATCTCATTGATACATTCATGTCGGTCCTAGTACTCACTTGCATTGCCTCTGCTTACCTTCCTCTCATTTCAGGTAAGTCTCAGTAACTTACTTGCTGTCTCATGGTACAGCTCCGAGTGTTAAAAGCTGGGGAGAGCATATGTGGGCACAGACTATTGGAAATCTGGCCATCCTTGAGGTTAAGATGAGAGGCTCGCCTTGTTCTGCTTCTGCAGCCTCATAAAAATGAAGCTAATCTCTGGCTCAGTAAATAGCAGCGAGCTCGGTGAGCAAACAAATTAAATTTGCAATCTTTGTGTGACATGGTTTTATTGTGGGGTTGGTTCAGTACTTTTTGTTAAGTCATCTGCCACCTGACGTAATATCGGGATGGTGTATTTCCTGAAAGACTTGTTTTGTTGGTTTTGCTACAGAATAAAATGTGTTTTTTTGTTTTTTTTTTTTTTTTTTTTTTTTTTGTTAGTATGGAATAGAGGTGTGAAGTACAGCAAAAACCTGTCAAGTCCTGTTTGATCTGTAGTCATTTCACTTGCAATTCAGAGCAGGGAATGGTGCAACCTCCACGCAGTTTTGTTCATGGTGATGGCTGTGAGATGACTGCTTGTGAGCTGTACTTCAGGAACTGGGTTAAAAACAAATTAGAGATATCTATCATCTTTCCAGATTCATTGAGATAATCCTGTTCCCTGTATGAAGTCGTACACGAGAATATTGCTCTTCTCTACTACAGAAAGGGAGGGATGGGAGAATGGGTCAAGGAGTTGAGGCAGTAAGTTTTTCGCTCCCCAAGAGCTGGGTTAAACTGTGTTTAAAAAATCTAAAACTATTTAACAAAAATGAATTAACTGCTTGTGTTGAGACATGACATTGCTGTAATCGATATCAATTTCTTAGAGAATCCATGGTGTGCATCTAGCGTTTTTCAGAATTTCAGCATCTTGTTGCTTGAAATTGAAAAAGTCCCAAAGCAGCTAGAACACTACTCGCTCAGTAGTAGCTGACACGAGTATAATCTGTAGGTGCAGACTGAGTATTTCCTGGTTTTCCAATTTGTTCAAGGGTTGCCTGATCTGAAGTCTAGAAAGTGACTGTGAAGGTTCAAAATGAAGGAAAGTTTAAAAACAAATTTCCCCAAGACCCCAAGTGAAGTTGTTACTGCGGAAAGAGTCCTGAAATTGAGTTGTCTGGCTGTGTATGAAGTTTGGAAAGCCTGTCCAGGGAAGTTGCTGGTGAGTTTCTACTTTGATTTCACGATACTAAGAAAAAAAAATCCTTTGCCAAAGACGGTTCTTGTTGGAAAGACCAGTGAAAATCTTTAACCTGCTTCTTCTCAGTCCTAAATACCGTATGAGATACAGGTGCACTAAGACCCAGGACACAGTGTCTCAAACAATTCTGTTGATAACAATTCCTTTAAAAATAATTTTTTTTTCCATGTAGAACGCCTTCGATAAATATACTTTCTTGTTTACTCAGCACGTTAAAGAAGTTCTAATATATTTATTTTTTAATTGCTACTCTTGTGCAATTTAGATTCCAATTTCCATCTCCGTGCAAGGAGGGGTGTCACAGTTCAAGATAAAATGTTAACAGAAATCATTTCAACGCAATTAAAACGTCCAACTTAGGCATTTGAATAAATGTATGAAATGCCATATACACGGACCCTAATAAATGTTGATATATTGTATTCTGACTTAGCAAAATGTGGTACATCAGCAAGATTTAATCTTATGGAAAATTAAATCACATTTAGGAAACTAAAACTGCACATACAACACAAGGGCAGGATTGATTTCAGATTTTTAAGTCGATGTTTTCTTCTTTCATGATTTACATGATGATAAGAATTCACGTTTTTAGATTAAAGTAATCATATCTGAAGTGTCTTTTAGCAAATAGACTTTCTATTTCTGGACTTTAATTTTTAATGGAGAGTCTCCATAGCAACGTTTCACCAACCAATTGCCTTAGTTCTTTAAAATAATAATAATAATAAACATCTGTGTGGAATTTATTTATTTCCAGGTTTTTGCTTTCCTGTTATGATCCTGTTTGCTGAATTGAAGAATTCCATAGTATCACTTCAGTTTCTCTTGCTGCTCTGTAAATGAACTTGCCCCATAATGTTTTCTGTAGGGGTTAAATCAATTCACTTCCTTGAGTTGGGTACACTGGGCTGTCTTCCATTCTGGTTGGCATTATTTAGGAATACTTGTGTAGTTTCTGAGAGAAGTCTTTACATACATGGTTTATTCTAGATTCCAGAAACTTTTTGGTTACTTTCTGTGTTCTCAAGATATTAAACTTGATTTTCACAATTGTCTGACCTAAGTGTTCAAAAGCCAAATGGCTTGTTCAAGCTGGCAGCGTTCACGTTTCTTTTTGTCATCATCTGAGAAGACTGAATAAGGCTTGGTTCTGATATTATTAAAAGCTGATCAATAATAGAGAAAATTGTGGAATTTAAAAATTATTTCTGAAAGAACTGATTCTTTTGCATGCTTACTGTGATGAGCATACCGTAATGTAAGCAGTGGCTAGGGGTTCTGGCCAATTTCAACTGTGAAGTGGTGGAGCAGAAGGGAAATAAAACTATATACATATGCTTTTAATATATCATGTAATCACCTGCATACTGTTAAATAGGAGATAAGGAAGCCTGAATGTTGGTGATCCCTCATTTTCCTTTTAGGAAAGCTTTCCATATCCTACAGACTTGAGGGATGCAGGTGCTGTGCTGACATTCTTGGTGAGGAGGAACATTTGCTGGTTATTTTCCATGCAATGAATATACTCATTTCACACTGCATTTCATCCCTGTGAGCAATGGGAATTTGGCCCACAAGAAATAGGGTATTTATGGCCTGGCTGGCCTCTGGCGGAGGATGCAAGTGCAGTGCCCTGCGCTAATGGGCATTGGCCCTGGTGGAGAAGCGTGGTCTGGCATGTCTGGGGAGCTGGTTTTGGTTTGACCATCCCTCATGGGTTTGCTTTACTTTAGTTCCTGGGCAGCAAGATAAGAAACTTCTCTTTATTTTTTTGCTTAAATAACACTTTAAGATTCATGTCACAGTGTGGCAGGCCTGGGGCCTGTTCTCAGGCCTGGTGGTGCCCTCAGGGAGGGCACATGGCAGCCTGTGGTGCTGTTGAGTTGTTTCCCTTTGTCCTGGCAACCTGTCCCTGCCACCTCTCTGTCTTGGCATGACTGTGAGGGGCTGGGGTGGCCAAGGGGAGGACGGGGTTTCCTCTTTCAACCTTGGAGAATCTGTACTTGAAGAAAAAAAAAAAAAAAAAGATGTGCTGGGAGTGCTGGAGGTGGATCTGATCCAAGCCGAGCAAGAAGACATAAGGGAAGTGTCCACTGGGTCCCCCTTGGCCTGGTGGCCGTGGCTTTGTCATTCTGAGAATGCAACATGCTGGTAGTCTTCTGCTGTCCTTTGGTGTACATGAAAATGCTTAGGACTGCCTACTAAAAGCTGGTACTTAACGTTGCTTCTCAGCCTCATGGATCCGTTTGGGATCTGCATGGTGATTTACTACTCGTGTATTTTTAAAAATCACAGTTGTACAGATAACTCCCACTGAAAAGGGAGGAAAAGGGCAGAGGAAAATCAGATGGTAAACCGTACTGTGATTCTTGACATAGAAAGCTTTATTTTGAAGGTGAAATGTGGTGACATTTTAGTCTGTTGCTGACTTTAAAGTCTCAGCTTCAAGAGAAATAGTTCTTCAGTTGCACTTAGGAGTATCATTTATGTTAAGAGGAATAGAGATCTTTGTTTCATCTTGCAGTGTTTGGATGAAAAAGAGGGAATCTGCATTTAAACAAATAATTTAAATATTTACTCATTACTTAAAATGCAGTTCTTTAACACTCACGTAAGTGTTAATGGTCAGACCAGCATTCAGCATATACTGTTGGCAAATACATAGTTGATGCTTTTTATATATCTAATGAATATTTCTTTTACGTAACTGTTGTATAATCAGAATATGCGTTAAGTACAAAAGCCACCAGATAATTTTTCATAAGTTTAAAAAAAATTTATTGAGTGCTTAACAGGCTGAGAAACTGTGAAATCTCAGTACAAAGTTTTAAGCACTATTTCAACCATTAATATCCCACTTTTGATGAAATGACAGCACCAAGTTGGTCTCTAACTCTTTTGCTTTCCACGAGGAATACAACAAAAGTAATGCACTAGTCTGAAGATCAGAGATATGGTAGACATACCAGCTCTGATATTTTGAGGTCTCATATTTAATTCAGCTTGTAAGCTCGATCCCTCTGCTGCTGTAAGTTTAGGGACTGCAGACAAGTCAGAAATGGGACCACATTCCTTCTTTGTTTGCATATAAACAAAGCACATCTTGCTGGGGAGCCTAGAGACACAACCTGGTTGCAAACTGTCTTTTTAGGGCAAGTGATACATGCCTGGAAAATTTAGCAGAGTTGAGAGGTCTTGGGTTGTCGTTTCACAATAGTTTTAATCTACCAATCAGTAGGACTGAGTTTTGATTCCTCTCCAGCACTTCTGATAGCATGTGTGCAGTTCTTATGAGCTACTTCAGCTCATCAAACCACATGAGTTACCCACTCTTGAATTTGACTAGGCTCCCACTGTTTTAATTAACTAAAACAGGTCACTGGGTATCAGATTAAGTCTAGGGGAGGTATAACAGAAGAGGTAGGGTTATTGTTTCAATCCCAGATGTATGTGCACGGATTTGGGTTTAATCTGGAGTAGAACCAAAAGGAACCAAGACCATGCTGAAGAGCAAGCCACACTGCATCCTAAAGATCAGAGATAACTTTGGGCCAATTTTGTTATTGCTATCATGATGAAAGTCTGTAGTTTCTCTAGTTCAGTTTTGAATAATGGAGTTTTTCTGAACCTGGAACATATGGTGTGCACAGACCCTCATGAAAATCAAAACTAAAGGAAACATTTGCATGAGACCTTGTGAGGTGGGGATACAGCAGAATATCCTGTGTGGAAGGAATGATGCTCTGCCCTCCTGGTTGGCCCTGTAGAGAAGAGCGTATCCCAGGCAGTAGGAATTACAAGGCTGTATAAAACAGCTGAAGGGACAGACATTTAGTCCCATCTCTTTTTACATATGCTGTTTGTAACAGCTGACTACATGTACAACACATGCATTCATGTAGATCCAGAAATAAATTCTGGATATCAGCCAGTGTATTGGAAAGCAACCTTCATCTAGTATTCATCATCATCCTCCAGGTCTTCGCCTGCAGTTGCAGCTTCCAGTGCAGCCAGTGCTGCTGCTACTTCTGCATCTTCCTCCTCGATTTCTCCATTGATGTCTTTGTGACTGGGGTGTGGGGGTGCCTGTAGTGCTGTACTCACAGCCATGGCAGTGATACCATCAAGAACATCCTTGCTCAAACCTGCAGAGTCAGTTTTAAAAGGTTCAATACTGCTTTCCTTCGCGTGTGAAGGTGGCGTTACACAGAGGCCTTGGACCTGTGTGGCTGAAGGCCTGGTGACTTGGTCTGAATGCACACAGTTGACCGGAAAGCTATCTTTTTCAACATAGTTCCTCAGTCTGTTGCCGTTTTGGTGACAATCTATATCTGGCAGTTGTATGGTGGTGTTTTTTGTCTCCAGCATTGCAGTTCCTCTGAGAAAGGCACTATGTTCTGCAGCCTGGGCCTTCCCATCCTGAATACTGTTTGGCTCACTGCAGGCTGCCTTCTTGTGGCTGCCTACTCCTATGTCAAGCTCTTGGCCATTCAGGTGGGTATGAAAGTCTCTAGTGCTGGCTGAAGGAGGCTCTGCCAGCTGGAGGCTGGAGGTTCCCTGCTCACTGGCTTCTTTCACTGGGTTTGTGTTGGGACCAAGACCAGGGTGTGCTCCAGCACACGAGCTGCCACCATTGACTGCAACATCAGGCTTTGCAAGGCACCTCCCGAGGCCATCCTCTTGAGAAGCATTGCCTCCATGGTTCCCGAGGGTTCCCTGTGTGCTATTTACCCGATTCTTGTGTTCTGTTCCGTTTAGCTCATCCTTCTGGAGTTCATTTTTGTGATCCTGAATTTCACTATTGTGTTTGAATTTGAATTTGTTGCTGCTTTGCTCATCCCGTTTGCAGCTTTTTGCTTCATGAATGCATCCAGGTGACTGTACTTCTTCTGGATCAAAAATATAGCTGGAGTAAGGAAAAAAATAGAGGAAATGTTAATTGTTTTTCAAGTTCCTACTGTTAACAGTGAAATTAAGCTTAATTTTTAGCTGGAGGTCTTGAGGAGCCTAAGCTGAATGGACATGTTGGGCCATGCTGTAATCTCCTGGGAGTAACAGGGACTGACCCTTACAGTGAGGTTCACCAGGAGCATAGGAAGATGGCAGAACCTTTTGCTGGTTAGTTCATGCTGCTGGCTTTGCTTATTTTTTCCTCTGGAGGATGGATTAGCCAATGAGTAGTCATCGTATAGGTAATGATCTATATCATTAATTGATGTGCCCTCATATAGTTGCCAAAAATACCTCTTTTTTTTTTTTTTTTTTTTTTTTTCTGGTACTCTTCCTCTCAAGTCTTGTCTTTTTGTTCTTTTTCTGTATTTGTCCCCTCTTTCTGTTCTTACCTAGTTTTCCCTTCTGCTCCTAAATGTTCCTTGACTTATTCCAGAGCCTCTCTTTACTTTCTTTCCCCTTTCTTTTGTAGGACCAATTTTCTTCCCGCTTCCTTACTTGTTCTAGAAACGTGGCCAAGGGGAAGAGTAACTGCCAAGTGGGACTGCAGTGTTATTTCTAAAACTATCTAGTCTCCCTCATCAGGAAGACTTTTAGTGTGCAATTCTTCCCACAGCTAATGACATAAAAAAGCTATGAAGGAAGCATGGATCTGTAGCTCATGTTCATTGTTCAGGAGAGCAGGAGGATCTGAGCAAGCCTGTGCTCCTCATTCTGCTTGAATTGAGGGGAAGCTTATGCTATCTACGTGAGGAAAATCTTGTTGATAAAATTGAATTTTCATTGCCTTACAGCACTTCTGTGTCTTGGGAATTATAGAAATAGACTTCAATTACAATGAATTATAAGGACGTTCGGGGGAAATCAGTATACCTATGCTCTGGCTTGACTTTAAAGATACTGTAGACTTGGGGAAAACTTAAACCTTGTAAATGGGCTTAATTTGAGCAGAGATGTAGAGGAGCACAAACGTGTTTTAATGTTTTTTCTTTTATTCAGTCTAAGCAACTCTTACTCTGTTGTACCTTTGTATCATTTTGCAGCACCTGCACCCCATCTGGATTTTCTTTAATCTGAAAAGAGAGAGAGGGAAGGCAAGGGAGAGGGGAGATGAGTGAAGCGTTATGAAATTAATGCATGGGTAATTGCATTGAAAATGATGCTCATGTTTAGAAATGTTTTATTAGCTAACAAGAAACATGCCTATGCAAGAATGGATGCAGTACCATTCAAGGTCTTTGTAGCTTGCTATCTTGCATTGACAGTGGCCTGTAGTTGGGGGAGAATTTAGGGAATAATTTGAGTTCTTTAGCAGACAGTGGTGTTCTCCCAGAATGTTTTCCTAGTCTGCAACGGCTTTATGATTTGAAGACTTCTAAGATGGAGTAATGCATTTTTTTTTTTTGTATTTGGTTACTATTGATGGATTTATCTTCTATAAATTTGTTTCAAGTCTTAGTTGTTTTCTGAACTCAGGTAAATTGCTTGCATCTACAGCATCCTTTAGTGAGGAGCTGCACTGCTCAACCTTGCCTGTGTGAAGAACCACCTGCTTTTGTTTGACTCGAACCTGGCTCTTACTGGCATTATTTGATTCCCTGTTGGTGTACGGGGCAGGCAGTGAATATCAAGCCCTGGTACTGTGGTAGTACAGGTCCTGTACTGCCACCTTCAGCTCTGATACTCAGCCTGAAGAATCCTCATCTGTCGAAATACTCCTGTACTCACATTATTTCAGGTTTTTAGATTCTCCTTGTCATTGTTCTCTGGATCTCTTATGCTTTGACATCCTTCTTGAATTAGGGGTGGGAACCACAATGCAGAGCTCTCGAGCTGTGGAAAGCCACAGATTTACTCCTAATAACTGCTGTCCCCACTCACTTGGGAGCTGTTGCAGAGACAGCTACTGAGCACTGGCATGACCTTGCTGTAGATCTCTCTCTTAATCCTCTGGTTAGACACAGACATGTTGCTGGGGTGGGCACTTTCTTACAGTGTTGTGCACCTATGTTTTACTACAGTGTGACTAGAGCAGTCAAACTGCTTGTGTGCTACATCCCTTTATCTTATAAGTTTTCTGTATATGTTTGTCATTGTTGGATCCAATGAGACACTGAGAGCTATCTGTTATGTGGTTCATGTCAGTCTTTTATTATGGAAAGAAATAAATTAACTTGGACCCTTGAACTTTTATGTTATGAACCTAAAAGTGAAGGCACGGACCTAAATATCTGGAAATCCTTGTAAGATTTTTTTTTTTTTAATTTTATGGGTTGGGACTATCTTAGTTCAAGTTGATCAAGCCAGGCCAGTTTGTTAATGCTCTGTCCATTATTATTCACGCTCTTTATCTCTTGATGCTCTACAACCTTACATACCTTTGCTGTTGCCTCGCTTCCCATAAGACAAATCAATGGCACAAGGTTTGGGTATTTTCTAGAGTGAGTTATTCAAAGGAAAATAGCATTGATTTATTTGTACCAGTTCAGATTTCCCCCAAACTGCCCACCAGTGATTACGCTAGCAGAAACTAAAACCCTGTCATTTTATTGTCCCAGTTTTGCCCTCAAAATCTGACTTCTCTGCTGCTAGCACTGAACATAGTGCCTGGTGGCAAGTCCCTTGTTCCTGGGCCTGCATATTCAGCACCTGGCTTCAGCTAGGACACTGCTGTTCCTACCCATGCTGTTTGTCTCTGTGCCTGAACTCTCCAGGAGCAGGAAATTTTATAAAGGAGAAAGCAGCTTGGTGTAGCTCGGTGCCTGTCAGGATGGCCTGCGTGCCAGCTGCTTTGCTTCCTCTCAGACTGGGGCTGCTTCTCCCTCTTCCTTAAATGTGTTCTCCCATGTTGCACCCCCAATGATATCTTATCAGGAGTTCTGATGCAGGGTTTTTTGTCTAGAGAGTGTGCAGTGACCAGTTGAGGTGGCCGTGCCCTCCTTGCGTGCATCGTAGAGGCACCGGGGCAGGTTTGGCAAGCTACGAGGCTCATTTGAGCTGGGGCACGTAGCCATCTTATCTAGACAAAGCAGAGTTCTTAATTTGCTTTGATTGTTTTGAAAACTGAATTAGTTATAGCCCTTCTTTAAGACTGACTTGAAGCTTCAGTTGAGCTAAGCTGTATGCTGATGCTTTTGACTGACATCTTTAGTTCTAGCTTAAGCATGCTTCTAAGCCGGAAGAACAAAAACAGCTTAAAACCAACCCTTGATAGACTCAGCCTTCAAGTCTTGGCGTGTTAGGGTAAGTCACAGTGACGGCATGATCTCTGTTCATGGGAAAGGCAACGTACATGTCTTATGTTGAGCCCCTTTCTGTGCAGGCTAAGCTGCTACCATCCCTCGCATTTGTCAAAGTATTTGTCGAAGTATTTGTCAATACCTCGCATGCAAGTATTATTCTAGCTCAGGTAAAACAACGATGATTTTGGTCACTCTTGGTCACCGCTTGAGCCCACAGATCTGCCCACACAGCCCCTGGTGCTTTGCTTTAAAGTTGCTGGTTTGGTGAAACCAGCCCGGGTTCATCTGCAGCCCAGCTCTGAGAGCAGATCCCACTGCTTCTGCTTAATCTTTGCCCTGACAAATTTCCTACTTAGTGCTGGTATTTATAATGTTTCATGACTATTAAGAAGAATGTTGCTTATAGGTTTTAACCATTGGGAAGTGTTAATTGCTGTCCTTTATTCTGTTGAAAAGATGTTTGTTATCTTCACAGAAAGCAATTATATATGGAAATGACTGTTGTTATTTTTATAAGAAGCCCTTTCCTGTTTGTGTTTTTTAATTACAGCTACTGTTTGAATTATCTCTGCAGCTACTGCATTTAAGCTTTTCAGCTGATTAGTTACAACTGAATTTGTCCTCTGGCATGAATGAGTTATAGCATATGGGTATATTTTATGCTGCATTTTTATGCTTATAAATTACTTCACATCCCTGAAGTAAGAATACAGTTCTACAATGTCTAAACAATGTTAGTTTTTTGCCCTCCTTGCCTTTCCATATTTATAATAATCTTTCAAGCCAAGGTTGGAAAATAATTCTGGGGAACAAATTGCTTTCATAGCATGAAAAGACATACTTTAATCCTACTTACTTTGTTTTAGGTAGCTTGTTCTAAAGACTCTGGTATTGTGTGAGGTTCATAGTTCCACTAACAAACAAGTAGTATTGATAAGCTCCTGTCTGGAGAAGTCTGAATCGAGCACGTTATGCGGATTTGCAACAAAAAAAAAAGGGTTACAGAGCTCAAGCGATGGATAATTATCTGTGACTGAGTTTAAAAAGACATCTAGAACATGACATAGCATCCTTTTATGTTGTTCCAACTCTGTCTTTCTATAAGATGTTTATTCTGTTGGATTTTCTGTTGTTTTGTGCTGTTAAATTGTTAAGATGCTTTCAGATGAATGTGACATGATGCAGAATGCTGCCTTGCAAAACACTTTGAGGATTTAGTTTTTTTTTTTTTTTAAAAAAAAGAAAAAAAGAAAAGCTGTCTCTCTCAAGGGGCAATAAAATGCTTGGCCTTAACATTTAGATCCTCAGAATTCAGGTCAACCTGACAAACATCATTCTTCCTCGATCGGGAAATTCTTAAAAGCCTGTACATTTCTCAGTGGTTGTTACAGTCACTTAATTCTGAACATTAGCACCTCACTTGGCATTAAATCTCTACTAAAATGTTAAGTATAGATTTACAGATTGTACTTATTTATTTTTTTTAAGACTTGCACTTGGAGCATTTAGATGGAAGAAGTGGAGCTGTTCAGGTGAAGGGATGAGGGTGGCTTCGCTTTAAATTCTTCCTCTCTGCTCAATATTGAACTTTTGCTTTTCAGCTTTGAGAAGCTGTTGAATCTTCTAAAGGTCTCTGAAGCTGAGCTTATAGCAGTTTCTTCAGAACACCAGCTTCCTGCAGCATGTACGTTTTCCCCAGCTACCCCAGCAGACCTTGAGTTGGCCGTATGAAAAGATACTATAGATGTATTTTCTTGGCAGTGTGCTAAATGAGTGTTCAGAGAGAGACGGGAAGACCCGATGTTATGAAAGAGTGAATTTTTCTTGAAGAAAATTTTATAGAAAAGCAGCTATTTTAAAATCAGTGGGGGAAAATGCTGCTATGGCTGTTAAGGAGGTTGATTTAATCTGAGAGCAGAACACCAATCCTGTCCGTAAAGTACATGCTGAAAAAGAGGAAGCTGTAAATGTTCTGCTGCTGGCACCTGCTAGGAGAATGGGACGGGGCTTTTCTTAGGGTGAGACCTTGCTGGGGATGACACGAATGGATGGTGTCTGACTTCACAAATGTGAGCTTGCATTACAAGCCACAGTGTGCTTTAAGAGATGTCTGCTTTGCTTCATCAGGTCTGAGAAACACAACGTATCTGATTTTAGGTTATGTAATAACACGGCTTCTATTGTCTATTTAAACTGTAGCTATGTTGTAAATAAACAAAAGGCGAATGATAATGGCATGAAAAGGGAAGGGCACGCATTGTAGAGATAAAAATGTGTTGACAACCTTTGTCCATATTCTTGGAAGTTTACATGGAAACAGAAAAAGGCCAATAATAATTTTTTCTTCAAAAGAACAGAAGTATAACACAGCATTATTATTATTTTTTTTTAATCCCTCCAGGAGTGGAGGCAGAAAGGTGAGGAGAGAGCACATTAAAATGTGTTTTTCTCTCATTATAAAATGTGGAAATTTTTGTTCCCAAGTTTATAAATTCTGGCTCCATGTCCTTTGATCTGGCTCATTCTTAAGCCTTTTTTCCCTTCCCCAAGTCTGGTTCTTAATGAGCTTTTGCTGTTTCTACAGCTTTTTGCTCTCCTCCCTCATTTCCCACTCCAGATTGCAAAGTAACCTGTTTTTTCCTGAGTGTATTATCCAGGCTGCTGAGCCTGGGTGCCACATCTCCCAGCGACCTGGGATCCGTGCCTCTTTCTGCTCTCTTTCAGGCAGAGGCACTTCTCACCCTGGACCCTGCTGGTGTCTTTCCTGTCAGTCTGCTGTGATTTCTGCTCCTCAGTGTAAACCTGCCCAACCTCTGGGTACAAAAAGAGAA